CAGACTCCCTGAGCTACAGCGGATCTGATCTGGGACACAGGACTGTTAAGATAAGCATTGAGACTGCCCAAGGTTAGAGCTCTGTGCTGGGGAAGGGAGAGAGGAGCCTGACTTGGGGAGAGAAGAGGAAGGGGCCGTGAATGACTCTCAGCGCTGGTTTGCTAGCAGAACAAGGATATTCTTGAGGGTTGGGAGGTGGAGTGGGTGGCTGTTTGTGTAGATTTAGTGCGGGGCTTCTAGGTGGGGTTTTGGAAAGGGTCCTCTTACCCTGTTGTTGATGGCAAAACGAAAAGATCTTTCTCTTTTGCTGCCCCTCATTCCTGTGTCCTTTTCTCAGTCTCTGAGCCTGTGTAACTCCCATGGCTGTGGGGTTTGCAGGCGGGAGCGGGGGCACCTATGCTTAGGACTGGGGTGAAAGTTTTCATGGGATTCATCTGGGCACCCAGTCACCAGGTACTTTCCACTGACTAATTCTGCTGTGCTATTGCCTTAGCCATCGGAGAGGGTGATGGGCTGAAATGGGACATAAGAAATAAAAATAAGGGGCGCCTGGGTGGCTCAGTCAGTTAAGCGGCTGCCTTTGGCTTAGGTCATGATCCCAGGGTCGTGGGATCGAGCCCCACATTGGGGGGCTCTGCTTCTCCCTCTGCCTCTGCTGCTCCCCCACTATTTTATTGATCCTTCACTAAGCCTGTGAAGTCAGGGCCTTAGTTAGGTTGGATCCTGGGGTACAGAGGCTGTCGATGTCCATGAGGCAAGGGGTACATGAGCCCCAGAAAGGCAGTCAGAGGATGGAGTTCTACACCTGGCTCTCTCCCGGGTTGGCCACATGACCTGGGGCAGGTGATTCAGTTTCCCTACATCTCAGTTTGTGATTGGTCAAAAGAGACCCTGAACACAGAAGCTCTTTGTAAACTGTTAAAGGCTCCCCAGCAGCGGGGCATTTATGGTGGTGGCTCAGAGCTTAGTACTCCATACTCCACTTAAATGCTGCTCCCTTGAAGGGGCTGAGTGTGTTCTTCCTCCTCGCCCTGCGTCCACAGCCGCCCCCCTGCACTTGTGAGGGTGGTCCGGAGAGGACCAGGCAGGGCGGGGCATAGGAGGTGTGCCCAGGAGGGAGGAGGGGGGAAGGTCTGCCCGGTGCCACCTCCCTGCCCCGTGTCTGGCTCCCACTGGCAACCTGAGCCCTTGGCCTCCCAAGCTGCTCCTGGAATGTAAACCCCAAACAAAGCACATTCTTGAGCCGGTCACCAGCTCCTGACCCTTGGTAAGGGAAGGCAGGAGCCAGCATTTCTCTTGGCCCCGAATGACACCAGCATAATCTGGTGCTGGGGGTTGTTATCACAAGCCTGGATTAATAGGCTGGCTGTCCCCCACAGCTTATGAAAAGCCCGATCCTGACCTATTCCTCCCGTCAGAGCCTGCTGCAAAGGGAGAGGGGACCCGATCCCTAAGCGAGGGGATTTGAAATACTGCTGATTTCCTGAATCTGATGCTTTGTGCCAGCCACAGGCTGTAGACGGAAGCCAAGGAAGAGGGGGCATTGTAAAGGTTACTCTCAATGTTACTGCTGTCTCTCGGCTCCTTGATTTCTGGCTTCATTCAACTCAGTTGTTTGCTACACATTTATTCCATCAGTTATTTGTTACGTATTTAGACACTGCGTGCCCAGCCCTCTGCGATGCTCTGAGCCTCCAAGGACGAATGGCGCTGTCATGGTCCCGAGGAGAACCTACAAAGTTTTGTGTCTGGGGGTGATGTGTGGGGGCGGCGGCTGCATTCACCAGGTACACAAGGGGCAGGAACCCTGGGCAGAGGCAAGGAGGGGAGGCGGGGAGACGGGGAGGCAGGGAGGCGGGACCTGTGCCAAGGGCCTCAGAGGCCCAGACTGAGGCTGGGAATCACCTGAAGGGTAGGGCGAGCTGCTGGGGATGCTAAGCTCTGCAAGGACAGTTGGATTCGGAGATGAGAAAGATTTCCCCAGCGCAGGGGCCTAACAGTGATGCGAAGAGGGGGGGGCTGGAGGAGAGGGCTGCAGGGGGTAGCGTAGTGGGAGGTCATCATGTGGCAGGAGGATGAGGGTGTGAACCCAAGTGGTGGCCATGGGAATCGGGGAGGGAGCAGCCTGAGGGGGATGTGGGTGAGAAGAATGAAGGTGGGGTGGTCGTTTGTCACCAGGGCTGAGCCTGCTTCCCACAGGTGTTGGATGTGGAGGTCTGAGGTTAACAGAGACCCATCTGGAAGGGTAGCTCCAGTCAAGTCCCCTTCTCCCATAGATGGGGACACTGGATCTAGATAGGGGAGCCTGGGAAAGGGATTTGTACATTACTATTCCCGTACAAATGTTTGCTTTTAAGGATGTGAGCTGCTAACCTGAGGTTAGGACCAGGCCTCCCTTTCCGGTGAGTGGGAGGGAGAGTGTCCCCAAATCCCCTTCTCGTCCTCCAGATAAGGAGGGCAGGGTGGGCCACCTTCTGGAGACAGTGAGTAGGGCCTTAGGAGGCCCTCGCCTTGAGGGAGCAGCCACACTCCTCCCCCTGCAAGGTCGACCCCAGAGGAGGAGTCTGGAAGGCCCAGCTAGGGCCCAGGTGGGCCAGGCCACCAGCGGCAAGCCTGGAGGTCCTCACTCCAGCAATGTGGAGTGTGGAGGGCGGCTGGGGGGGGGGAGACAGACTTCTCTCTGAACTGCCTAGAAAACTTACAACTCGAGGTGTCACCTCAGGTGTCCAGTCTTCCGATACTTCCCGGCCTCCAGCCCCTTACTCCACTGACCCTCTGAATCATCTGCCAAATATTTCCTCTTTGGAGGGTGTTTTGCATGAAGAAAAGAAATTGTCTCAGGACTCTGGAGAGTCCAATCTGGCTAATGAGGAACTGGGACTGGGGCTCTAGGCATTTTTCTCAGTTCTTCCCCTCAAGGAACCATCCCTTAAACTCGCTCAGGACACATTTAGCGGGCGCTGGCTGGGTGCCAGGCATGAACCAGGTGCTGAGTACGTGAGGGCCCGTGAGAAAGACTGGACTCCCCCATTTCCAGAGCTCATGACAACTTGTGGAAGTCTCTATTTCCCCATCTGTAAAGCAGACTGATCCCAGGCTTGCCCAAGCTCACAGGGATAAAGGATGCAAGAGGCCCTCCAGCTGCTATGGCACCGATCTTTCTGGGTGATATTTCGAACCCCGTACTCTGGTACGTCACAGCTGATGTCCTTTCCTCCTCGGTGTGCTAGGTCCTTCGAAGCAATGCAGTGCTGTGGTCAGAAAGTCTGCAGTCAGACTTGGCTTAGTCACTTACTAGCTTGGGACCTTGGACAAGTTATGTAATCTCTTCGAGCCTTAGCTTTCTCATCTGCAAAATGGGGACACCCCTTACCTCATAGAGTTGATCTAAGGATTGAAGTGAGGGCTTTGGCACCTTGTCAGATGGCATGATCCTTGCTCTTGTTCTACAGATTGGGAGATGAAGATGAGAAAGAGGAGGGGAGGGATTGTGACATGAAAGCCTTTGGGGGCGGGGGGGAGAGGGGGGCAGGGCCTGGAGCCAGGCCATCTCACCCCAGATCCTGAATGGCCTCCATGGCACCATGAGGTACAGACCATGTGGCTTACCACTGACATTCCATTTCCCTAGCTCAGCGAGGTGCCCCCAAAGTCTTTCCCAGAATGGACCTCCAAGAGGTAAGTCCTCAGCAGACCCCAGCTCCAGCTCTTGGTGGCCCCCATGGGTTCTGGTGGCCAGTCCCCCAGTCTCATAATGGGGAGGCCCTTTTTCAGGCTGACTGTACCCCTGAAGTTCTGACCATTTAAAAATGCTTCAGTCCCATCCACGGATCTGCTACCATTTTGTGTGCTTGGAAAGCCCCCTCCTCCAACACCCCCCCCACACACACACAGAGCTTTGGCCTCTCTTGGAAAGGGTGGAGGGACCCCTGCTTGTAAACACCTTTCTCAGGGAGGGTGGAAGGGGACAGTGCAGAAATGGAAGAGGAAAGGTGGGGGGGCCAGACCAGGGCTGGACTTGGCAGTGACTTCCCAAACATGCTGATCCATCCCTCAGAGGATCTGTAGCTCTTCCAGCACCTTCTTCTAACAGTTACTTCAGCAACTAACAGACCTAAAATCCGGGAGTCCAGAAGCAATAGGAAAGCGTCCCCTGCAGTCTGCTCACCAGGGGGCACCCGTAGCCACAGGCCACCTCTAGCCTGGGTGGGAAGGCCAGGCTGGGCCAGCAGGGGGCAGCACCCTTCCTCCAGCCCCAGAAGACCCAGGTTCCCCTTGTCCTCAAGGCCCAGGGGATCCTCCAGGAGGCTCCCCCTGAGCCCTGAGACACGGACAGGCGTTTCTTCTCTATTCCTGCTTCTCGAGAACGAATTACATCATCAGGTAGTAAGTGTCATCTGACTACCCTGCAACCCCTCCCAAGGCAGGTTTTTCTTTGTATCCCCGGTGCTGATAGAGCTTTTAAAAATAACTGGGAATTAGAAAGAGGTGCTCTAGGGGCGCTTGGGTCGCTCTGTCGGTTAAGCATCTGCCTTCGGCTCAGGTCATGATCCCAGGGTCCTGGGATGGAGCCCCACATCGGGCTCCCTGCTCAGGGCGGGGAGCCTGCTTCTCTCACTCTGGAGGAGGAGGAGGAGGAGGAGGAGGAGGAGGAGGAGGAGGGAGAGGTGCTCTACGAGCTTCAAGTCTTTAAGTCCATGAGCAATCCCCTTTCAACTTGGGGTAAGACAGGAGTGAACTTGAGCTGAGTGAACTGAGGCCAGACGTGGAGATGTCAGCTAATGAGCGCAACCTTTCCTACCCCGGAAGCGGAGTCTCCACGCTGAAGAGAAGGCAGAGATGCAGCTGTGCTGGGAGCGAGGGGACTCGGTGGGGGTGGTTTGGAGATGGAGCCTTCTCAGTGGGAACAGCCAAGGACAGCTGGTCGCCTGGGGTCCTGTTTAGTCTGAGGCTGTCAGAGGGACTGTTTCCTGGGGTCCCCTCTACCCACCAAGACACCCGTCCACCCTGCCCCTGCACCAGCTGCCCGAGAGGATAGGAATATAGATTTTAATCGTTGTGCTGCTCCTGTTAACCCGAGTGCCACGAATCCAGCCTTCGTGGACTTTGATGCCCCGGTGTATGTGAGGTTTTGCACAGAAACACTCCGGGGTCGCCGGGGACGAAAGGGCCAGGGAGGGGTGGCAGAAGGACTAAGTGAGTGAGGAGAGGAGCGGGGAAGCCGAACCTGGCTTCCCTTCCAACCCAGCGGCCCCTGTTCCAAGGTCACTTCTCGCCGAGCAGATGAGGGCTAGGGCAGGCCCGAGGTTGACCGCCAAATGGGGGAAGGATGCGGACCACGGGAGAGAAGAGGGGTTTGGGACTCCTTGCAGCCCTTCGCCATTTTCCATCCCAATCCTCCCCATCCTCATAATGGTAGCCGTTGTCTTCTGCTCTACCCACCTCCTGCCCCGGACGCCGGGGGTGGGGGTGGTGGTGGTGGTGGTGGTGGGCAGAGCTCACTGGAAGGGGAGGTAGCAGGTACTCCTGGGCCTTCCTCTGCCTGAGCACTAAGGGAGGAGTCTCCTCAGAGCTCTGCTGGGCTCCAGCTGGAGGCTGGCGGAGTCAACGCGTCTTCTTACCGTCTCCTGGGATTGGTACAGTTTGGAGGTGGAGGGAGGTCCCTCAGAGCCCCAGGGCCTGAGCCCACTAGCTGCTGACAGGACCTAGCATCCTGGGAAGTCACCCAAACTGCCCAAGAGTGGAGTGATCTGGCCCGGGGCAAAGGTGCTGGGCCCAGGGACACCTAGGAGTCAGAGACACACAGCGCTTCCACCGCGGCGCTCAGACCCTGGTTGACGCCCCCCACAGCCAGGAGGCAGTTCTTGACAACTATGCTGGAGCAGGCACAGCGGGGCGTGGGCATGGTGGGGAGGACCTCCCACTTGTTCTTCCCGGGGTGGAACGCCTCTGCCGTCTCCAGGACCGTGGGTTGGTTCCCTGAAAGTGCCAAGGGAACCGGACCTTACAAAGGAGCCCAGCCACTGATCCATGCCCCACAGGGCCGCCACCTCCCTGGCTCCCTCTGGAACCCCCAAGCAGAAGCCAAGGGACCTCAGTCCCTGCGCTGCAGAACGGCTCCCTCCCTACCCTAGGCCTCGGCTCTTGTCAAACAGCCACTTTGCCCTGCTTGCCTTCTCTCCCTCTTTTCATCTCCTCCACCCTCTGCTTTTACCAGAAGTTTCTAGATATTGCTGCTGCCTCTCTTTTGCCTTTTACTAAAAAGCTGTCCCCAAGGTCTGGCTCACATTGAGCTCCTTTCATACTCGGGTGAAGTGGGAGTCTGTCCACACTGAGTGAACTCTGGGTGCCTAGAAGCCCTGCTCCCCATGTATCTCTGCCCTGTTGAAGCTGGGGTCCTGCCTTCAAAATACCACTACTCTCTGCGAGGAGTAACCCAGCAAATCCTGAATCCATTACAAAAATCTGTCTAATCAGATTGCTTTCCTATTCCAAGATGGAGCTGGGTATCCAGGGAGTAGAGCTGGCCAGAGAAAGAGGACCAGGCTAATCCCTGCTACACTTTTGTCTCCAGTGTTCCTGGATAGGGCCCCAGGGAGCTGTGCTCAGCAAGCCTGTGTTCCACGGTTAGCAGCATGTCCTGCATGCTCTCTTGGCCTCAGTTTCCCCTGTGTAAGAGGGGGAGCACACGGGGGCCCGTTTGTGGATACGTGGGAGGGAGTGTTTTAAATTATTTGGGATAAAGGGGTAGGCAGGCAGTATGCAAGCAGCCAGGACCTTCTCCTGCTCATGCAGAGCGCCAAGTGTCCACCAAGCACTCGACCCGCAGTAACAGCCTGGAAGCACCATCCTTACCGAGTCCTCCAGCCACTATGACCCGTCCACTCAGAGAGCCGGCCACAAAGTCTGCCCGCCGCTTCTTGAGGAAGAACGAGCGTTCCATCTTCAGCCAGCCCCCTACAGGCCACGGATCGTGGCAGGATAAATTTAGAGAGAATTAGATGCTGACCTCCCCCACCAAATACACACTGAGTCCCCAGAGCTCACACCTGAGACAGAAGTCCACTCCATCCACCCTTCGTGCTCAGGGCATAAACTACACCTCCTGCTGTTTGAAATGACAGCTCTGTGGCCTCTCCCCACTCCCAGGCTCGCTATAGTCCAAGGAACCGTAATCCTGACCAGGATCCTTCTGTGTCTGCATCGGTAAAAAGCAGGAAAAGCCCTCCCTCCCCTGGCCCTGCCAGGATGTTGTAAGACAAGAAAATAGACAAGAAAGGCTTGGAGACAAATAACCAGCCAGCCGAGAGGAGCCCTGTCCACATGGAAGAAAGTGAGCCCAACAGTAGCCCGGAATGGTGAGGGCTATCTAGACCTCTGAAAGGCTCATGCCACTGGGTCAGCAGCCCTGGGAGGGTGGACGGGATCGGGGGCAAAGTAGGGGGGAGTCAGCCAGAGGGGTGGTGGGCAGCTAGAGGCTGGTGCCCTGCTCACCCTGTTCCATGTCGAACACGTCCATGGTCCGGAGGAACTTGGGCTGCCGGTAGAGCCGACCCTGCCTCAGACCCCCCAGGCTGTAGAGGCGGTCATCCAGGGTCACAAAGCTGGAGAAGGCCCGCTTGCAGGGAATGTTGGGGAACTTGGTCCAGGAGCGAGTCTCGATGTCAAAGACCTCAAAGGCATTGACTGCATACTTGGACTGTCGTCCCCCTAGGGGCCAGGATGGGGTTGGAGGGGTGGGGGAGGGGGGCCATGTAAGTACCTGAGGGCAAGGGGCTGCATTTCCCCTTCTGACTATTACCCAACCATACAGGGGGCTCCCTGAGGGGTTGGGGCATCATGGTTACCCCCTAGTACTGAGGAGATGCTCAGCACTCAGACACGGCTTCCCGTGGGAACGGGCCCCGGGGAGGGAAGGAGAGATAGATGTGGGACCGATAACTCGTCCTTACCCAGCACATAGATCTTGGAGCCTTGGAGGAAGGAGGTGGCAGCATATCTCGGGGTGGGCATGGGTGCTAGTGAAACCCACATGTCCTTGAGCATGTCATAGTGCTGGAGGTGGTTGTGCGGACGGAGGTCTAGGCCCATCCCGCCTGCCGCGTACACTCGGCAATCTAAGGAGAAAGGCCACACACACCCCCTGGCTCAGCTCATGAAAACCATGAGACAGGCCCATCAGTAATCACCTACCAGGCCGGGCTCCATTAACCCCTCGAACACCGGCACCAAGGCCAAGCCAGGTTCCCAACCACCGCTGTGCTAGAGTGAGGTTAATGGAACCACGACAAGTCCCTGCCGGGCTGAGCCTGGGTCTTCCTGAAGCCATGTCAGGCCTGCATGCCTTAGTCTTCCCTGGTGTCCAGCCCTTGGCTGAGCCTCGCACGGGGTAGACTGGGGCGGAGGCCTGGACAACCCCTGGCAGGTCTTGTCCTCTCCACGTTCCTCCTGCGTAGGCAGCTAGAGGGGATGCCAAATGGAGGGGGTATTCCTCCGATGCCCTCCAATAGTGGACTGTTGCTTAGGCACTCCCAGGTCGGAACTCTCCAGACCCAGCAGGAGCCTTTGGAAATGAGGTCAGCCCTGCTGTCGTTGGCCTTGTGGGACACTGGCCTGCTGCTGGTTTTCTCTGTGTGCCAGCCCCATGGGGGTGAATGCCACCCTCCTCACACACTGGGAGGCTTGTGGGCTCCAGAGGCATCCTGCACTAGATGGGATAGGGTTAGGGGTGAATGAGGATGAGGCTTTGGAGGACAAAAGACTAGCCCCTTTAAAGAACCCTGCCAGGGCCGTAAGCTGGGCACTGTGAGAGGAGAAGCGAATCCTCTCATTTCCTGCTGCTCTTGGCTGCAGGTAGCCTTTGAAGGCACCTCCTTGAGACACTGCAGCGGAGAGGATGAGCAAGGCATCCGTGTTTCCCGGGGCCTTGCCCCAGTACCTCCTGCAGCCTACCGGAGACATAGCTCCCCTCACTCCCCCACTCCACAAGCCACTCTCCTTCCCAGGGACCCACCCCTGCCTGGGATTCCATCTCCCAGTAGCCAGTCTTCACCGCTTCTGGCTCTAAGAGGCTTTTATTCAAGGAAATTATAGAGATGAGTACTATTTCCTTCTATTGAGTACTACCTCTCGTCTTACTGAAAAAGGAAAAAAAAATCCCAACCATAGCCTCAGGTCAGGAGATTGGGCCTGCTAATATTGGGAGGATTTCCCTTACCCGAACTCTGCCTCTCCCATCCCTGTGTCACCCGAAATACACCTCCAGCTGAGAACCCTCGGTCCACGCCACACCACGACTCCTGGGCCAGCTCCTACTCATCCCTTCACGGTCGCCTGGGTGTCCCCCACCTGCAAAGCTGGGCTCAGAGCACCAGCTCAGTGCCTCCCATGGCATTGGCTTCACCCTATTCGCCATTTGTTACCAAAATAATCCTTGTCTGTTTCTTCTGCTAGATGGTTAGAGAATTTGTTTGTCTGTGGCCCCAGCATCTGCTCCAGTGCCTGACACACAAGCCTATGAAAGCTTATCAGACTAACTGCTGAACCCATTCCTTCAGTGCCCCAGTGAAGAGCACAGACTCCATCATCACTCACTAGCTGTGTGACCTTGGGCAAGGTATTTAACCTCTTTGGGCCCCACATGGCGTCCCTCTAAAATGAGGACAATCATAGCACTTACCTCATCACACAGGTTGTGAAGATCAGAGGGGCTAAAATATATAAAGCATCTATAGTAAGGACTCAATAAATGTTAGTTCTTAATCTCCCGGCAACATTTATTGAGGCCTGGAGACCAAGGAATACCCTTTCCCTCTCTTTTTTCCCCCCATAGGCCTCCAGGTCTCCTGTCCTTCCTACTCAGAGTTCGTGGAGGCCCCACTGGCCACTGCCCTGAGGGATTCTGGGTTAGAGTTTCTCACTGGTCACCTTCATTGGTCAGACCCGGCCTTCTGAAAGTAGAGGCCAGGTCTTCTGCCTCTCTCCTTCCTCCCTGGGACCTAGAACTGCAGGGATACAGCAGGTGCTCAAGAAATACTGGTTCCTGATCTACAGTAGATGCAACAGGTAAATGGGATGGTTTTGCCAGAGATGGAGGGAGGGTTGTATCCCACCAAGGCTGTCTGAGCTGCACTTGGGGTCTTCTAATTCCTGTTGGACCATTTCCCATAAAACCCTTTGTGTTTCAGCAAAAGAGCTTTTGGAACCCCCTCTGTGCTCTGGGCTGTACCAGGCCCAGTGAGAAAGAAATAAGGGGCTTTGACAAAGTGAAATGAAGATCAAATAACCGTGTGGTCAGCACATGCTCGCCCCGAGACCTATAAACCCGGGTAAGGTGCTGCAGGAGCTCCACCCTCAGGAAATTTCTAGTCTCCATTCCTTAGCATCTCTGAGATTAGGAGGCAGAGGGGGAGGTTGAGGGTGGCGGGAAAGGCCCTGGAGTCAGGCCTCAAAGCCCCACCAGTGGGGCCTGGGGATGGTACAAGGAGGCAGGGAACGTCCCCAAGGCCCCAAATATGTGTCTAGAGGTGGTGGTACCTAAAAGGCAGATGTCAGGGGATGAGGTGCTGTGGGTGGGAGGCTTCGTCATTCTGCTGAATGAAGGGGTCTGCAGAGACATGGCGCTAAACCTTCAGCTCTCCCCTCTGGCCAGGCCTGCCCTGCTTGCTGGGAGGAGCCTGGGGGAGTGGAGTTCTGGTATCATATGCAATTACTAGACACTTCACCTGCTGCGCCTGTTTTCCCATCTGTAAAAGAAGGCCAGTGGGTCTTCAGTTTCAGTGTCTATTGCAGGGATCAAATGGGATCAGGCCTGTGAGAGTGGGCCCCCCATTCAGTGTTGGCTTCCATCCCTCTCCCCGTGACCCCCACTCCCTTCTCTCTGCCCTCCCTCAGCCCTGGCCCCACTCGCCTTTGGCAGTGACAGAAATGCCCATGGCGGCCTCGCGCAGCACGCTCCTCCTCTTCCACTTGCCCTCATCGATGTTGTACATCTCCACGACCTTCAGGGGCAGCTGACTGGCGCCCACACCCCCGATCACCATGATCCGCTTCCCCAGGGCGATGGCGGCCACCCCGGCCCGGGCTGTGGGCAGGGGGGGCAGGGCGGTCCACTGGTCGGCCTCGGGGGAGTAGACCTCAAAGCAGTCCATGGGGATGCCGCTGTCGTCACATCCCCCGATGGCATAGACCTGCCCCCCGCTCTCCAGCAGGGAGCAGTAGACCCGGCGGCTGGGCAGCGGCGCCAGGCGCTTCCACTGGAAGTCCTTGACGTTAGGCACCTCCATGGCAGCCCCGGCGGCCCCGCCCGCCGCGCCCCGGTGCCCGCGGAGCGCCGGGGCGCCGCGGGAGGTGCGAGCCCGGGGAGCCGCCCGCTACTCGGCGCCCCCTCTCGCCGCCTCCATCTGGCTCGCGTCCGCCGGCTCCCGCCCGACCCCGGGCAAGGGCCCCGACGCCGGCCAGCGCTTCACGGTCCCTCCAGACTGCGCGGTCCGGCGGCGTCCGCGCCTGGCCCTGCGGGAGGGATGGGGCGAATCAAGGGCGGTCGGGGCCCCGCGCCCTCGCCTCCTCGAGCGGCCGGCCGGCGGGGCTCCCGGCTCCCAGGTCCTCGCCAACTTTAAAGGGGAGGCGCGGCGGCCGAGGGCGCCACCCCGCGGCGGCATCGCGCCCCGCAGCGCCGTGTCCCCCCGCCCCTCCGCGCTGGCGGCTCGGACGCCCGCGGGGCGCGCGCGGGGCGGGGGCCGCCCGGCGGAGCGAGGACTTAACACCTCCGGGCGCCGCCGCCTCCCTCCCCCGCCCCCCTGCCCGCGCCCTCGCGCCCCCGCCCCCGCGCCACTTACACAGCCGGGCCCGAGGAGCGCGGTGGCCGGGCGCAGACCGCGCATCAGCCGGGACGGCGGGGAGCCGGGGAGAGGGCGCGCGGTCCTTCCCCAGCCCGCACGCCGCCGTCACACAGGCAGGCGAGGAGAAGGGACGAGCAGCGCGAAGGGGAAGCGGAGCCGCCGGCGGGGAGGAGGCCGGCCCGGCTGCTCCGCGCACCTCCCCACCCGCAGCCGCCACACCTGAGCCGGAGGCCGCGTGCGCCCCGCGGCGGAGCAGGCCGGGCCCGACCTCTTTACATAAGCGCTGGCAGCGCCCGCCCGCGGGGAAGGGCCAGGGCCCCGCGGGGGCCGCTCGCCTTGTCTGCAGGGTCAGAGGAGGCGGGGCGCTGGAGCCAGGAACCCAGATGACAGGGACCAGACTCCCTGCAGCGTGGGGGTGGGCGGTTTGTGAGTGTTTGTTTTGGATGAGGAGGCGGGGAGTCCAATTACCCAGTTTATCTACAGTGCACAGACCCAGTTCGTGACAGGCTGGCTCAATAGCTTTGCTTTGGGGGAGGTGTGATCAAATGGCTTAACCTAATAGAAACAAGTTCCGTGGGTGTGACACGCGCAGAGCCGACGCAGGTGCACCCAAACATAGCGTGTGTGCGGAGCCGCATACCTCTGCATGACTTACACATCGCCCTACTCTCTGCCACCCGGAAGCAGACGGAGTAACTGACAGACGCACAGACATGTGGACACGTAACCAGAGACACCAATGTAGATAGACGAACACATGGGGGCACCCACCCCCCTTCCGTCCCTTCTTCACACACCTTGAGATGCGGAAACCTGGTTATTCAATGTTGGCCCCCAGCACCAACCCACGGGGCTTGCCAGATAGTTTTCTCAAGCCACATTCTCATGGCCTTTTCAGGACAGCAGTCCCCTTTTAACAAAGGTGCCCATGACACCAGTGGGCCACCTGGCCTGAAGGACTGCAAGGCCTGTGGAGTCCCCCTTCTTCTTGGTTCCCTTGAAAACAGTCAAGTCTTGAAACACTCAGGCTTGGGAGTCTGATAGACCTGGGTTTGAATTCTGGCTCTGAAATTATTTAACTACTCTGAGACCCAATTTCCTTATATTATTTTAATTTATCTTTTTATTTGGAGATAAGTTGGAGATGGACATGCGATAGTAGGAAATAACACCCTTTACCCAGTTTCCCTCGATGGTAACATCTTGCAAAACTTAGAGTACAATAATATCACAACCAGGCTATGGAAAGTGATCGGTAAAGGTATAGAACATTTCCACCACTAGGATTCTTCCTGTTGCCTTTTATACCCACACCTACTTCCCTCCCACCCCTTTCTCTCCAGCCCCTGGTGACTATTAATCTGTTCTTCATTTCTATAATTTTGTCATTTCAAGAATGTTATATAAATAGAATGGTATAGTGTGTAACCTTTTGGGACTGACTACCCACACCCCTCCTGGCATAATTCCGTGGAGATTCAGCCAGGTTGTCGTATGTGTGTCAATAGTTCATTCCTTTTTATTTCTGATAGAAGTATCCATAGTATTCCATGGTATGGATGGATCCTTGTAGATTTTTGTGAAGATTAAATGAGACACTGTTTGTAAAAGGCTCAGTTCCGTTTCCGACACAGAGCAAGGGCCTGGTAAATCGCTATTAAGACCATTACTACCAACTATTGTCACCAACATGCGGAAAAAGGGAGACTGAGAACAAACACAGACATTTTGCCCCTTGCTCAGAAATGACTTCCTGTGAGAAACAGAAGTCACGACTCACAATAGGCCCATCTTAATATCTTGAGTTCTTGGCTTAGAAATTCCACTGTTTCTTTCAGTTTGAATTCTCTGTACTTACAAAGTAAGCACCTCTAGAACCTTCAGAGGAAGGTTGTGTTCTGTTTTCTCTCTTCAGTAAGAACTCATAAATTCCAAGAGAGTGTGGTCTGAATTAATGACGTTTTACAGGAAACACCAAACATTTCTCTTCTGTCCTAGGGATCACAATCTCCCCGGGGGACTAGGGAATAGACTCAACCCTCAACTTGAGCTGTCTTCACAAAACCAGCACAGGGTGATCAGGAAGACTGAAAGCCATAGGCCTTCCTCAAAGGGGCTTGTTGGGGTGGGTCTTCAGTCTCTTTTGCCCACTGAGCCTTTAAAAAACAAAACAAAACAAAATTTATTTATTTATTTTAGAGAGGGGTGGGGAGAGAGTGGGAGCAGGGGGAGGGAAAGAGAAACTCCAGCTGACTCCCCACTGCGCGTGGAGCCCGAGTTGGGGCTCCATCTCACAACTCTGAGATCATGACCTAAGCTGAGACCATGATCTGAGCCAAGATCATGACCTGAGCCAAAATCAAGAGTCAGATGCTTAACCCACTGTGCCCCCCAGGCACCCCTTGCCTACTGAGCCTTTTCCCAGAGCAGTGAGGCGAGGCTCCTTGTGCCCCCACCCACCCCAGCCAGGGCAGCAGAGTTCCATTCTACTTTGTGTTTGCAAAACTCATCCACTAACCTAAGCCCTCACGCATCCATTTTCTCACAATCTTTGAAACAACCCTGGGAAAGGTGGCCCGGGCAGGTATCAGTCCGTACTTTCACAGATGGGGAATCTGAGACTTCCTGAGATAAAGTAATGGACTTATGGCCACTCGAGGGTGGGTCTGGTTTGTGAATTCCAAATCCAACACTCTCCCACTTTAACAGTTAAATCACAAACGAAAGATTGTGTATTATTAAGGACACCAAGCTTTTCCACTCACACCTGGCTTCCGGCTTTTTGTCCAGTTGCAGTGAAGGAAGGAGCCCAGGCCCCCAAGAGGGTTCCAGCGACTGCTCTCTCCCCATTGCCAGACTGTGTGCTGGGCAGCATCGCTGGGAAAGGACTGGAATCCAGCTCCAGAAGAGGCCCCATTCTAGTCTAACGCTTCTCTTTTGCAAGCACTACCCTCTGTGAGGACCACGAGATCTAGGGACTCAGACCCTTGGAAAAGTACTAAGAACCGGATGCCTTTCAGGCCATGGTCTAATTGCTTGTTCTGAAGTACTCGCTTCTCTCCTTCCCCCACGGCTCTTCCTCTCAGCCAGGTGACATCCTTTAATCCTTACACTGAAGTGCACATTGAGGAAACTTGTAACCTAGCAACCGCCACTTAAGATTCCCTGAGTCACAGGCGGTTTCCATGCCTGGGCAGAGTGCACCAAACTGGGGCCAGAAGGCGTGCCAAGCAGAGGCAGGGAGTCGGGGGACCCCTTTGATGCCTCACCACCCTGCTCTAGAGTGAGGCCACTCTCCCTGTCAGGACCTTCTTCCTCCTGTCAAACCTAAACCCTTCTCGCTCTGAGACCTTGCATTGCATGGGGCCTGGGTTTCTCTTCTCTCTTAAAAAGTGTTTGACTTTCTGCTTTGGTTACAAGGTGGCACAGGGACGGTGGGGAGGTGGGGGAAAGAAAGTTGATGAAAGCGTCTAACAGTAAAGCCTTTCTTTGGTACTGTGGAGTCTTTCTCACTGTGATATTGCTGCATTAGCCTTGTTAAGGGGGTGCTCAGCTCTAGAAAAAGTCACTCGGTATTTTTTTTTCTGAAGTCGCACCTTGGGTTTTTTAAGGTCTATTTTATTTTATTATTATTATTTTTTTTAAGATTTATTTACTTATTTGAGAGAGAGAGCAAGATAGAACCGAAGGGGGCGGGAACAGAAGGAGAGGGACCAGCAGACTCCACACTGAGCGCAGAGCCCGACGTGGGGCCTGATCCACAACCCTGAGATCATGATCTGAGCCAAAATCAAGAGTCAGACATTTAACCCACTGAGCCACCCAGGCGCCCCAAGGTCTATTTCAAATATAATAAAATGCACCGTAGTGTTTGAATTCATTAGGTATTCAGCAAGGGCCTGGCACCACCACCTTGGGGTAGGTCATGGGGAAGCCAAGGGCGGGGTGGGAGGACAGTTTCTTCCCTGTTCACTTGCAGAGTCCCAGCATGGCAGCCCATGGATGGAGGAACCATGAAGGGCCTCAAGGGGCTGGTGCAATTCGGAGTGTAGGGCATGTTTTGGGGGGATGGGGAAGGAGAAATTGTTTGGTTATTAGAAGCTGGAGCAGCTCCTTCTCCTTCCTTGGAAATACAGTTGACCTCCCTTCAGTGGGCACCACTTGGACACCTTCTGTGGGATTCCATGCGGGCTGGAGGGACGCACTAGGAGCTCCCTGAGGCCGGGATCACCTTTCTGTGGTTCATTTTTTTGCGGTGCCTCACAGAGCAGGGGGTAGGGGAAAAGTGGATGGACTCTGGAATCAGACAGACTGGGTCTGAATCCTGGCTCTGCCACCCCCAGCAGTATGACCATGAATAAGTCACTTATATCCCTGAATCTCAGTTCCTCATCTGGGAAATGGGGAATAAGAAAATCTACTTTCTAGGGGTGCCTGGGTGGCTCAGTCATTAAGCATCTGCCTTCAGCTCAGGTCATGATCTCAGGGTCCTGGGATCGAGCCCTGCATCGGGCTCCCTGCTCGGCAGGAAGCCTGCTTCTCCCTCTCCCACTCCCCCTGCTTGTGTTCCCTCTCTCGCTGTGTCTCTCTCTGTCAAATAAATAAAATCTTTAAAAGAAAAAAGAATATCTACTTTCTAGAGGTATGGGAGGAACGAGATGCCAGGCATAGATCCTGGGCCTGTAGGAGGTAGTCCGTTCCTCCCTGTGTGATGACAAGCTCCTGCACCCTGACTTTCTGTGCATACAGGCCAGTGAACCCAAACAGCAGGTGCCCGTTTCACAAAGTAGACCCCTTACCAGGGTTCACGCTCTCCTATGCCCAACCATGTCTGGGCCTGTGTCTTGGGCAGGGTTTCTTCCCTCTTAGCACACTGAAATCTCCTCCACTGCCTAAATGGCATCCCGATCTGGAGAACAGCTGGTGCCCTTCCTGTAGAGAATCACCTCTCCTTCCTCAGCAGACGCGTGGCGATATGCAGGGGGTAGAAGCGAGGATGGCTCATCCAGTCAGGACTGAGGCTACGAGCAGATCCAGGGAGGGGTAATTTCCTCCCCCGCATGGAAAAGCCTCATCGGGGCCTCCTCCCACCCCGTCCCGACAGAACCCAGAAGGATTTAGGGATCCAGAGGACTCGAAGGGAGATGGTGTGATGCAGGTGTCAGCAGTCAGAAGCATAACCCTTGGGGTTGGCAGTCTGGGGTCCTGCGGACCGACCCCCTCCTGACCCCACAGTCGTGACTAGACAGTTGAATTAGCCACATGCCTTCATCCACCTGCCCTGCCCCCTCCTCCTCCAGGGCAGAGCACCAGCCTGAGACCTAGAGGGACT